TACTGTTAGAAGGTGTGGCTTTGCTGGAGCGGTTATTGTTATTTATTGAGTATTAAATGAGCTTCTTTATATCTTCTGACTAATTTTAAATTGACCTTTGACCTCTGTTTGGTCAGCTGTTAGAATGTTTATTTAGAGGCATATGTGTGAAATAACCTTCACATTCTTTTATCCCAGGGTGGTGTCCATTGTTATAAGAGGTATGTTTCTTGGAGGAAATAAATGGATCTTGATTTCTAATCCAATTTGCTGCTCAGTGCTTTTCTGTTGGTACAATGCAGTCTGCTCTGGATAGTTTTATGTCACCTCAACACAAGCTAAAGCCATTTGAGAGGAGGAAAACTCAATTAAGAAAATGCCTTCATGGGGGCTGGAGAGATGGCTCAGTGGTTAAGAGCACTGGCTGCTCTTCCAGAGGTCCTGAGTTCAAATCCCAGCAACCACATGGTGGCTCACAACCATCTGTAATGAGATCTGGCGCCCTCCTCTGGCATGTGGGCATACATGGAGGCAGAACGTTGTATACATAATAAAGAAATAAAACTAAAAAAAAAAATGCCTTCATGAGATCGGACTGTTGGCAGGCCTATAGGGTATTCTCTTAATGAGTAATTGATGTGGGTGATCTGCCTCCCAGTTCCTTCCCTGTTTCAGTTCCTGTCCTCACTTCCCTCAAAGTGAACAATGCTATAGGAGTATAAGCCAAAATTTTCCTCTGCAAGTTGCTTTGGTCATAGTGTTTTGTTGCAGCAAATTAAGATAGAGACCATAGTTATTAAGAATTATTAATTGAAAGATGTGTGTCAATTCCTGTTTACTTTCTGGTTTTATTGTATTTTCTTGGGCATCTTTTGATTAACTATCCTTGTAGTGTTTATTTCCTGTGCTTTCTTAGGTGTGTGATATTACAGTGGATATCAGACTGTAATATTTCATCAATGATTTTCTGTAGATCTGGCTTAGAAGTCATCAGTTCCACTAATATGTTTTTATCATGGAAGATTTTTTTTATTGCCTTTCAATTATAATAGCTAGTTTGGTTGAGTATAGTAAGACGAGTTGATAGTTGTGGTCATTCAGAACTTGGAATACATCTCTCCAAGCTATTTTGGCTTTAAAATTTTCTATCAAATAGTCAGGTATTATAAGAGAGTTAGTCTTTCTCTACTGACGCTTTGAAGATATGCTCTTTAGTCTGTGTTTTTAATGTTTTAACTATAGTATATTGTGGGATGTTTCTTTTTTTCATCTGGTCTATTTAGTGTTTTGTAGGCCTCTTGTACTTAGATGTACATCTATTTTTCTAGGTTTGCTAATTTTTTTTCAATGATTTTGTGGAAAATATTTTCTATGCCTTTGATTTGATATTTTTCTGCTCATTCTATGCATATACTCTAAAAGGTTAGATATTTTCGTTGTGTTCCACACCTCTCCAATATATATCTTCATATATTCTCAATACATTTATATGCTTAAAAAATTTGTCCTTGGCCTTTCCTGGGTAATCCATTTTCTCTACTTTGTCTTCTATTCTTGATTCTCTGTTTTCTACATAATCTATTTTATTGTTGAGGCTTTCCACTGAAGTTTTTGCTCAGGTTATAATTATTATTGCCAGAATCATTTCGGTGTGTTTTTCTTAAGCAATCCTATCTCCTTATTGAAGCTGGTTTTCCGCATTATATTTCATTTGATCCTTTACTTTTGTTTTCTTGGAGTATAATTTTGTCTTTCCTGTGTTGTCTGAACATGGTTATGATCATTTTTCAAAATTCTTTATCTGGAGAGTCAGGCTTTCAGAGTTTTCATTAGGGCTGTCATGATGAAATCAGTGATTTGTGGGCAAGGCTTGTCTTGATTCTTTTTGTGTCATTTCCTCTTTCAGTTGGGACTTGCACATCCTGAGTAGTTAGTTGAGCCTCTCTCTCTTTGAAAACTGATTTTCTTTTATTAAGTAGAGTTGTTTCTAATGTTCAGGAGAGGACTAATCTTAGTAGGGTTGAGATGTGATTTTTTTTTTCAGTTGGGCTGGTGTAAGAAGTTTCAGGTGGCATACAGAGGCCTAACAGGGGAATCTTGAGTATTTTACATGGTGCCGGAGGCTGTTTGGGCTTTTTTTTTCCTGTATTAAAATTCCCATGAGCTGTGTGAGGGTCTGCTATCAGAGTCCACAGTGGAATGGTGCTTGAGTCAAGGTTCCTGGGTAGTGTGAGTAAGCCTAAGCAAGGGAAAGCAGTGTTCAGTACTTGATTCAGGGGCCATTAAAAGTTTTTAGTAAGGTCTTGTAGCTGCTACTGACTGGGAATAATTCATAATTGATACACTAGTAATAGTCACGTCTAATGTTCCGAAGAATAGCATTACTGGTTAATACCTACTGGATGACTGTCAGCACCTACACCTCTCCCTGTAACAGGGGAAACTTGTAGGAGGTGGCTGTTTTGTGAGGCAGATTTATGTGAGGTAATTTCCTTTTAGAGTCTCCTTTGGTGGAGCTCTCTTTGCTGTCTCAATCCAGTTGATCTGCCTGAAGAAATGAAGTACTGATTGACATGCATAGAACCTTTCCTGCTCTGAGAAGACTGTAGTTTACACAAAACCTTGTAGCTTAAGGTCTTTCAGTTTGTACTACTAATTGCTAAAGTCTGTGAGAATGACATCTTCACCGTTAGTTTACTCTACCTCTGGCCCCAAGAGCAACTCTGCTCTAAGAGTAGTATCCCTTAGAAGTTGCTCTTTGATGTGCTCTATGCTGTTTACAGAGGGCATTCCATCTGCCATCTGTTGTCCATCTTCCTTCATTGGCACCTGGGTAATATCTTTTCCTACAAATAGGAAATATTGCCTCATAAAGTTAGAGGGGTTTAGTGACTAAAATGAGAGGATTATATGCATAAGAGAAAATGTTCTGTATAAAGTGTTATTTAATGTGGGAAGAAAGATGAGTGATGGTGAAACAACTGGTTATTTATTTGTAAAATTAATCCAACTCTTTTTCTATGCCTTATGTCAGGAAGACTGCAGTCACTGTGTGACTAGGAATGGCTGCACTATAGCTGTAGTCACGCTATGTCCCAGGCCTCTCTGCTGGGGTTGGTAACCTCAGGCTGGCACAGCCACCACCATTACGACAAAACCATGGGCTCTGTCAGGCGAGAGAAAGGGGAGAGGAAGGTTTTGTCTTGGCAGCTTTGTGCTCTAGCCCCAGTTTAATAGTCATAGACACCAACTGTTTATTGCCCAGAATGGTTTACATGACCCAGAAGCGTCTTGGTCCCAAATACAAGAAAGCCAGAATATTTCCTTCTGACTTGAAGGAAGAAGCTGATCAGATCTGTTGAATCAAGTATTTGTATCACTTTGTTTACTGAAGCAAAATCATAGCCAGTGAAGTGCATGGAGGCCAGTCCTAGATGAAAGAAAATGTGGGCGAATGTCTGTAAGACTTCTGGTGGGTGTTACAGAGGTTTTGATTTTATTGATGTATCTATGGGTATGGGGGGGCATGTGAAGATATATATGCAGGTGCCATGAAGGTGAGACAGAGGCTTCAGAGTCCTAGAGCTGGAGTTACAAGGCAGTTGTGAGCTGCCCAATTGGGGTACTAGAAACCAAACTCATGTCTTCTGTAAGAATAAGTGCTCTTCACTGCTGAGCCATTTCTCCAGTCCTATGTCTGGAGGATTACTAAAAATAAGACTAAAAGATCAAGCCCAGTTTTAAAAACGAAAACTCAAAGCTCTATTTGTTTTGGCCACTGTGAATAAAGAAGACACGGATATTTGCATTGGCATCATCCTGATTCTCAGATGTGAGATCAGGGTCACAGTGGCTGTATACATGCATCCTCTAAGCCACTTGAGTAAAACCTAAACCTGTCTTGTCTGTACTCTTCTTAAGCATCCTGTTGCACAGGACCTCCGGGGAAATTTGGCAGACGGTATTGTCTCTAAAACAATGTGAGATATTTAGACAGTGCGGTTGTCATGAATTAGTAAAGGATGTTTTAAGCTCCAGCCCCTTATTTTATTCCTACCTGCCAAGAGACTGATGAAATGATATGAGGGTCAAGCATTTCACAGTTTAGTTTCTAAGACAGCACTCACAATCCTCCAATGCCCTGCAACAGTACTGAAAAACAGTGGGTGGTTGCTTGGTCAGTTGGTTTTAAAACTTAAACCAACTCCTTTTTTCCCTTACTTGCAGAAACCCTGGCTCTCAAATAGGATTGTGAGTCTAGTTACAGGCATGGCTTGGTACAGCCCGCTTGGCTAACGTATCTCATCAGGGGCAGAACCCAAGGGCGCACATGCACATTTAGCTCCCAGTTCCAAGGGATGCTCTGTTGATCCAGGATCATACTTTGAAAATCTCTGGCCCTTATTTCCCTTCTTTAGTGTCACTAGGATTTGACCTGCTTAAAATTTATGAAACATCTCTAAACTCCCTCACCATCCTAATTATGTAAGTTGCAAGATACACTAATAGTTTTTAGCAGCCATTGCAAAGGATGGGCTATGGGCTGTGTATGAAAAGGGTAATTTGCAAGTCAGTTTTGAATCTGTACTGAGCAGCAGCTAAGACTTGGATCACCTTTCATAAGGATTCTGTTAACTGTCAAACTGGGGCATTAAAGGAGCCTTTGATCAACTTTCATCACTATGCTGCTCTCAGACCATGATGCTTGCTCATCAAAGCAGCAGAGTTGGTACATTCTCATAGCATTTTTAAATGGAACAACTTAAAGTTTTTTTTCATGCTTTTTAAAAAATTCTTTGGTGGGGTTGCTGGAGGTTGACCCTTGCAATTGCAGTTTTCATGTGTTACCTACCTATTGTCCAAACCATTGGGAACATTGAAATATGCCTATGTACAATTCATTATCCAGCCAGACAAGAAATCACTGATAAACCAAACAAATCTCCTTTGACTCAATCAAAATTATTTGCCTAAAACAGTTTCATTATATTCATTACTGGTTTATTTCCATTTTCTTCAAGGTGTTATCATGGAGCCATTCTTTTCATCTACGAGTTGCTTTATCGAGAGTGGAAATGGATGTACCCTCACTCTGTCTTCTGCTCCTCTTGGTCACCAACATTGTGGGGATTTTACATGACAATTCACTAGGCTCTGGGTGTCTTACACATGGAGTCCTAGTAACACATTTTTCTCACTGGATACTGTACTGTCTACCAAATCTATTTTGAGGTTCTGTACCCAGTGTAAGATGCTTTGATTTTATCCTATATGCCATTCACTCAGTGGAGCTTTGTAAAACACAAGCTAAGGCAGTTGTCCAAAGAATCTGGCTATATGAAGGTTATTATTGGATGGTAATCCTCATGGCAGTGTAGAAAATGACTGAAACTAGGCAAAGAACTACTCAAAAGGATTTACATGAGTCAAGAACAACAATGACCTTCTAGAAGCCAGGGAAGCTCATCTACTTTCTTGCTTGTTAGAGATTCATATTTATGTAATTGGAATTATTTAGTGGCATTTTATTTGTATTTTAATAAATGAAGATTACCTAAAAACCAGAAAAGTAAAACAACCACACTGGCCAGCCTTACTGACCAGGCAGCAATGACACACACCTTTAATCTCAGTAGCTACAATGACACACATTTTTAATCCCACTAGCCACACTAGCTTGCCATAGAAACCAGGTGGTAGTGGTATGAGCCATTAATCCCAGGACTACCGAAGATTATAAAATGGGAGGAGATGACTCTCAGTCACAGTCTCACTCTGAGATTCCTGGAGGCAGGACATTTTTGGACTGAAGTCAAGGTAAGAAAAAGTGGCTGGTTGCTTTGCTTTTCTGATCTTCAGGTTGAACCCCAATATCTGTTCTGAGTTTTTATTAATCATGCTTCATTCGGAACCCAACATTTGGGGTACGAATTCATGAAAAATCTGTTTGCCTGAGTGTTTTTGTCCACTGGCACAGGACCCAAACCTAGCCACCTGGATTTGGGAGAAAAACTAGCTTAGTTTCCATGTAAAGATGGAAAATACACAGAGAATCTGGAAAGTGCATGTTATTGTGTTGTCTTTGAATTGTTTGACTGCTGATAAAGAAGTAACAGCTGCTAAAAGACATTTGAGTATAAATGCTCTGGATTTATCTAACCTATATATTTTGAAAATGCCTTGACTTAAAAATTTAAGTCAAAAGATACATTACTTTGGAGAAGAGGTTTTGCTCTTATTTCCACAGGAAATGAGAGGCTGTGGATTCATTCAGGGTTAAGAAAAATAAGTTTTGATCAAGGAAGACCCCATGAAAAATCTCCAATGGGAACTGATAGCCCTGACAACCCAACATGTCAGAGCACCTCTGTTGCAGTTTCTTCTGAGTTCTGAATCTAGAACAGCTTCAAAGATGCTGGGTGAGATGATCCAACCTCACACAATACTCAGGACTTATCCATAATTCTAAATTTTCTTTGGGTTCCCATAAGATTCTCAGCACCCCCAATCAGCATGAAGTAGCCTAGAAAACTATGCCCATATTCCCAAAAGAATGGATTATGGATGCTTGTATTTGTTTAGAAGGTTGGTTACAAGTTATTTTTGGTAATGGTCATGGAGAAAGCTAAACAAAGGAAACTAGATTCAAGGTTCTTCTTTTGAAAAAAAAGGGAAATATAGATATGATAAGATAAAAGGGTAGATTATTGAATCTATTCTTAAAAGAAAAAAGGAACATATATATGTATATGATAAGAAAAAATGGTACTTTTTAAAAGGCAACTACTAGTTTTAAAGGTTTTACATTGGATTGAACTTTTGTATATTGTATACAAAATTTGATACAAATTCGAGATTAATTTAGTTAAAACATACTGTACAAACATTTCTAATTTTGTTCAAGGTACTGTACTTATACAGCTTATTTAACAATGTAATGCAAACTTTTAGTCCTTTAAAATTATTATTACCAACTGTTTAAGATAATAAGGAAATATATAGGCTAGTAGTTAATCACTGAGTATAATCAGTCTTGTAGACACATTAGGTAAGCTATCAAGGTCAAACAAAGATACATTAAAATGTATCATTGTAAAATGTAAAGATAGATAGGTCATCTTAAAACACTTAAGAGATCTATGGACTATGGCATTTAAGATGTTCTAAGATATTTTTATAACCTAGGTTCTTCTTTTTTAAATCAATAAGACATGTCTTCTCCTGGCAGCACCAATATACTTCAGAGAAGATAATGGGGATCGAATAAACTCAATATGGAATTTACTTTCTTTGTGACAAAATTAAGCCACCAGGCAAGAAAATGCCCCTGCCTCAACTGCTGACTGTGTCCTATTCTAATTAGACAAGCAGGACACAAAAGCAAGTGACTGCCAAACATTGTCAAGAAGAGGAAGGATGGACCTTCAGAATATCCTGCTTCACAGAAAACTCTGTTAGATATGCTAGGCCTGTAGGTTGAAGATGGATTTGATTATGACTGTCTACACTTTCACTTTAGATTTCAATGTGTCTTTGTAGTATTTACCTTCCACCCTTGCTGTCCATGCAACTTACCCCCTGAGGACAATAAGTAAAGAGAAAGGAAGAGATGCAAGATGCCACCAAGAACCTTTCCTCCATGATTTATTTTTTCCAAATTTTAGACTCCATCTCCTAAAATTTCCAGAGCTTCACATATGATCAGCTGGGGATTAAGAATTCAACACATGAATTTGTGCTCTGCATTTCACATAAAATACCCCCGTGAGCTTTGTTTTCACTGCTCATGCATTCTTTTACATCTTACTATAAATTTTGTATTAATTTTTCTTAGTTTGGGTTTTGTTAAAAGAGCACTGATAGACAGCTGCTAAGAAGATCAGGAAGTGAGGCCAGAATAGAGCCCATTAACCTGTCAGTCAACATGTGTTGTGGTCACCTGGAACCTGGAACAGAGGACACAGACTAAGTAATAATCTCACAAGAGAGAGAAATCACACCCCCTTTACCTTCTTCACTCTGGCCTTTCATAGAGCACTGATTCCATGTCAGTTATTGTATCACTTGGATTGGAAAATAAAGGCCCAAAGTTCAAGAGAGAAAGTGCTCACAGGCTAAGGCATTTGGCATTCAACTGTTGAACTTTTGCTCATAGTGTATGTAGCCTGTGTAGCCTACTGGTTTGGAATTCAGGTCTGGCTAAGGTCAACCCCATTGTTTTCCCAGCCATGTATTACTCATCTGTCAGATCTCATGGGTGTGGATCTGTTCCACTTTGACCAAAGGTCAGAGAGTTCAGGCTATTCCTGCTCCTTCAAGGTTATGACTGGAGGTTTGATCCAGGGAGTGACTGCCTGCAGGAAGCTTGGCCACTGCATGTTCTACCTAAATTTCAGAATACTTGACTCAGGGTATAGTTACTTGATGTTTCATGTATTGAAGAGGTGATTGCTCTGTTTGTTCTTTGTATCATGGTAAAGCAGTCTTTTACTTCTTCCCCCCTTTTGGATTGGAGTATATAAGCATATGAAAAATAAATGTGGGCGAATTCAGTATTCACTGGTTTGCCATCCTAACTCTATTCTGTGTCTCTATTTCTTTTGTATCTCTGTTTTGTCTGCCTGACATTCCTAATCCACAAGTCCGTACCCTGGAACATACAAACGCATTGAGGCTGGACCCTGGCACTCATCCGAATATTCCCCAGCTACCCCATGGCAGGGAAGGATTTTCGATTGAGACTACAACCTTTTAGAATGGCACTGCCCTCAATCACTCCCAGAGAAACGCAAACCTGAGAGTAAGCTATAGTGCTTTGTATTGGAGCCAAATAGTTCTGATCTGATCATATTTATATTGTACAGAAGCTATGCACTCACTGAATAATTAATTTGCTCTATAACCTTTTCGTGTTAATTATTTTTATATAGCAGGTGCATTGTACAAGTGTAGCAGGAAAATGAGAATGAAGTTCACTGTGGGCGCCAAAATAAAGAGCAAAAATATAAATTGTTGGAAGACCTAGCTGGAGGTAGACTGAACCAAGGATGGTTTCAGGTCAGTCCCTTAACTTTTGATTTATTTCCTTATTCTGTCAATATGACAGCCTACTCATCCCTGCTTCCTTCTCAGCTCTAACTCCATGTGATTTAGGTATGTTTAGTGGCTAGTCAACAAATGAAATGTCAAAGTCTAGGCATACAATGTTTGCTCATTTGATGTAAGCAAGAGAGAATTAAATATGAACTTTGGCAAAAGTCTATTAATAATTGACAAATAACGGAATTGTCTGGGCATAGAAAACAGTCCATGAAAACCCCCAGAATATCTAAGGTTGCTGCACCCTGCTGCAATGTTGCCCCGGCTGGTCTGCATCAGTGATTATGAAGAGCACGCCAGATCAGTGCTTCAAAAGTCAGTATATGATTATTACAAATCTGGGGCAAATGATCAGGAGACCTTGGCTGATAATATTAGAGCATTTTCTAGGTAAGAAACTTGGTTATTTAAAATTGCATGTTAATATTACACAAAGATATTGCATCAGAATGAGATGTAGTTTTATGTTACAGTGGTGTGAAATTGCCTGCATTTGTAATTAATAAAGAGTAGAAAATTTCTTTCATGTGAGAGATGTTGACGTCTTAAAATGTTGAAGTATTATCAGCTCAGGGATCAATAGCGAAAGTGAGTCCTACCTTTACTTGAACAAGGACAGTAATCAATTTATCTATGTATACCAATTGTCATAAATGCTGATGACTCCATTTCCTTTTTATCAGAGTGTGACAGGGAATGCTTGTGTGGATGGACTAGGAAGATGGCTTTATGCATAGGATAGCCAGCCTAACCAGCTGAACCAGATAGTATTACTGCCTCGGATGTCCCCATCCTGCTGGCTTCTCTGTGATCGTCCACTTTGATTATGGCTGTCTACTCTCTCTCTTTAACTTCCAGTGTGTCTGCATAGCATCCGTTGCTCACCCTTGCCGTCTTTTGCCTCCTCTAACATGCTTCATCTTCCTCCCAAATTAATCTACCCAGGCTTTCATATTTCAGATACAAGATGGTAGGTGTCATGGCTTATGCTTTCTTTTTTTATTGTAAAGAAAAAGTTTAAGTGGATGTTATTTTTGTTGTTTGGTTTTGCTTTCTCCACTGAGTAGCTGAGGGATTCTTTACCATACCCCACTCTTTCCTAGGCCTTCATCTTCCACTGTAGTCCTTAGTGATGGCAGTAGGTATTAGTGCTCCCCATTTATGATGACACATTAAATGGAAAGGGACATAAAATATCCAGAGATAGAACATTTGTCTTCTTTCTTATTTCTTCTTTGATCTGGAGTGAAATTACTCCAAATCACCTTCACATTTTGAATTATGAGAAATTAAATCCTTCGATGAAGGCGGTAACTTGATGTCAGCAGCTGCTTTACACACAGGTTGGTGGTGACCGAGTGAAGGATGGGACGTCTCTGAAGTCCTCGGTCAAGCTTTCTCTGGAACCTTCTTGAACTTATAAATGCCGGGGAAGCCGTGGCTGGGGAGGTGGTTAACAGTGCAGGAGCTTATAGTTCTGCACTTTCCCTGATCATTTTTTAGTAGTCAACATTTGCTGCTCTTCTCGAACATTCCTTCTTGGGACCATGCCACTGTATTCTTTGAGTAAATGGCTTGCCTGAGTGCTCCTTAAACAAGACTTTAGCCCTACTGGATTTTCATAACCAAAAGACTTTTCAGGCCCTTGGATATACAGGGCTGGTGTCTCAGCATTGCTGCTGGTAATCGCCTGGTTCATGTCTAGCAGCCTTCTCTACCCCTTGAGATACCCTATATGATGTGGTACAACTTATTAACTTACTTATCATCCCACAGTATAGCCCTGTGTGATGTCAAACTGGCTATGCACACCCAGCTGGCCTGGGACTTGCAGCTCTGCTTCCTGAGTGCTGTAGGAATGTGTCAACATGCTGGGACAATTGATTGACTTACACTGTGAGCTGTTTTTCAGACAAGGTTGTTGCAGAGCTGAGGATATAGCAATGATCTGGATAGAACCTACCAACAGGACCTTGCATTTAGGTGGCTGCACATGACCTTAGCTTCCATAACCTAGTGGGCCGAAATGATGTAGAGTGACCCCAAACAGTAACCCAAGAGAAGGAGCAAAGGAGTACAGCAAAACAGACTACCTTAGCAACCTGAGAAATTCTGGGAACTTTCTGCGGCATAGAGGACATGGTGACTTCCAAATTGTAAGCACCCAAAAGAGCCTGCTTTGCTTCTGTGAATTCCAAAGCACTCCCATTAGAAATTATAACCTATGTGTTCACTAATTTATCCCTAGAATACAGAAAATGCAACTGGGTTCACAGTGCCATGTCATTTATGAAGTTTGACAATTCTTTTGTTCTTTAAAAAACATTTAAAAAGGTATTAAGGAAATTTCTTCAGAGGCAGCTCATTCTTTGTGTTTGTACTACAAGAAATATCAGGCATGATCACCAATCTAACATCTCAGTTCCTCCTTTGCTGTGTGACTCCCTGCCTGACCCATAATCCTTTGCTTTGTGCCCTTGAGCAGGTCATGTGGGAATAAAAATAGAATTTCTGCTGACTTTGATGAAATTGGGTTGGTGGCAGGAAGAGAGTCACCCTGAGGCTTCTCATTGTTTCAAATAAAGGCTACAAACAAGCAACCTCAGATAACATTGTGACCTAAGGTCAGGGTGTTTCAAAGGTTTGTGAAATTCAACCCCTTTACCTCAAGCTTGAAGAGGGAACATCCACCCGACCTCCCCTCTTTCCTCACCGGCACTTTCCTTCAACACTCACATCTGACAACCACATTTTGGATTTCTGGAAACTTGGGTTGACTTATGACCAGAAAACAAAACAAAACAAACAAAACAACTCCAGTAAAGGATGAATACAAAGAATCACCTAGAAGAATGTAATTTCCTCTTGACCAAGGCAAATGTCAGAATGCCGGCCACTTTATTTTGATTGGCCTGATCCAAGATTGGGGCAAATTTGAAAAAGTATACTACACTATTTCTTTTACTGATCTAAAGGAGCTTCCTTGCCCAGTCACAGGCTCTGTGGCTTTTCCTGAAGGTGCTACTGATGGAAACTAACTCCATAGATCCATAGGCAGGATTGTGACATTGGAAGTAGAAGCTGCTTCCTTCCTGCTGCATCCTAACTGACCCTGACAAATGGGAGGTCTCATTTGAACAAATGCCGTCCTCACTTCATTGAGAACCAACACAAACTCACTAGTGGCGTTTTCAGTACTACCTAAGTAGAACTGTCCTAACATCTCTCCGCTGATACAGTATATAAGTGAGGAGGGAGCGTTTTCAGTTATTTGCTTTAAATTTGTAGAGAGCAAAGTTAAGATGAAGAAATTGGAAAGCCCCCTGCTGGTATCTTAGAATTCTGGAAAAGTCAATTCTGGGTACTTAGTTGGTGTGATAACTCGGTGGGAGGTTTCTGAGCAGCACAATTTGTAAATCTTATCAGGGAGCAGTTATGTCCTAGGAAGTGTGTGTATCTCCTGAGGTTTTGATTGATTAGAAGCCTTTGTTTTGTGTGACGTGTAGGCTAAAGTCCTGTTGCAAATCCTTCGTTCTTTTGAAAGGTTTATTACTCAGTGGTCCAGCTGCTCTCCCCATTTTCACATCCTCTTTCTAAAGTGGATGCCATGTGGAAGCAGCATAAGGCTATGGAGACAATTGTTAGAAGTACAGTTGAGGTGTTAGCTATTTAAGTTTGGGGTAGTTTTGGGAGCGGGCTCAAAAATCCACTGAAACTCTCTGGCAAAGTTATTGTTATTTGGAAAATACCAAAACCTGGAGGAGGCATTAGAAGATGTACACTTTCTTGTTCCGCTGGTTTTATTTAATTTTGCCGAGAAATGTGGGGGTTGAAGCGTCTCTGTAATATCTCCAAACAGAAAATGTATTTATGGAAAGTGGGAGCAAGCTGTTAGTAAGGTGACTGCGCCACCAAGTGGATGTGTGTAAAACTGCCACATCTGGGTAGAATAAGCTTTGGTTTCTAAATGGGTGACATTAAAAAAGGACACCTTTCCCGATAGAACATCCCCATTGTCTCAGTGTGTGGGTGAACCCCTCGCGGTCCTGAGTTCCTTGCTGGTGCTCTCTCTCCTTCTGCTCCTGATTTGGACCTTGAGATTTCAGTCCGGTGCTCCAATGTGGGTCTCTGTCTCCTTTCATCGCCTGATGAAGGTTAATATTCAGGAGGATGCCTATATGCTTTTCTCTGGGTTCACCTTCTTGTTTAGCTTCTCTAGGATCACCAAGGCCAGCTGGCCTGGGCCTGAAAAAACATGGGATAAAACCAGACTCGCTAAACATAGCGGACAATGAGGACTACTGAGAACTCAAGAACAATGGCAATGGGTTTTTGATCCTACTGCACATACTGGCTTTGTGGGAGCCTGGGCAGTTTGGATGCTCACCTTAGTAGACCTGGATGGAGGTGGGTGGTCCTTGGACTTCCCACACGGCAGGGAACCCTGATTGCTCTTTGGACTGATGACGGAGGGGGACTTGATCGGGGGAGGGGGAGGGAAATGAGAGGCGGTGGAGGGGAGGAGGCAGAAATCTTTAATAAATATATAAAATAAATAAAGAAAGAAAGAAAAAAGGACACCTTTTCCACATGTACGCGCGCAGGTGCACACACACACACAGAGCCGATGCCCCACAGTTTTCTGTGTATTCATGAGCAAATATTAATATTAATATCAATGCTTTTCACTATTAAAAATCTCTTTCATACTAAAAACACACTTAGAGATGATTGGTAATTAAGACCTCTTTCATAGTTTCTTCCTCTCCCCCTTCAAAATGGAGATTAAAGCATCATGCTGGAAGTGTCCACGGAGAGAAAAAGATTGCTGGGAACAGGGCTTGTGGTGTGACGGAAAATAATGACAATTATGTCCAAAGAAACAGCACAGGAACCACACACTAAACTTGCTTTGTTATGCTGTTCATGGATGGTGTGTCTTTAGTTCTGCTGTGGAGGAAGGTTAGGTTAACGATCTCGAGGAAGTCTTCAAGGCAGAGCACTGCTGCCGCCGCCGCCGCTGCTAGAGAAAACCCCCTTCCTCCAATGAAGGGCTTTCCCCTCGTTTCTCCTAGATGAAGTCACACCTCACTATGTTTGCAAGAGCAACGTCAATCTCATTACAAGTAGAGTTCAGGCCAGAAAATTAACTGGGAGTGTTGGTTAGACCTGTACATGTGTATAAATAAGACATTTGCTATAATCATGATCTGTCTTAGTTTGCCTTGGGAGGAGAATAATCAACACAAACAAGTAGGAGATACACATTCTGCTGATAGGAGAGATAATTGATTCTCTGGTAAGATTTATGGATTTTTTTTAATTGCTGGCTTAATGGTAACTTCTGTTTTAACATAGAGGAATCACGGGAAAAATAATCCCCCAAATTTAAAAACATTAGTTTCTATTAACTATTCAAAGGGAAGGACTTAACTAATAAAATAAATCATGAAAAGAGTCAACTCCTGTTTTACAGCCATTCTTCAGGGAATGCAGCATTTAGTTCAAGAACTTTGAAGAAAAAAGTCTTAATTTTAAAAGCAGTTGTTTTGAGCTACTCTCTCTTACAGAAGGAACATTTATACCTTCTCAATTTCACTGTAGCCTCTAGGACTTTGGGTATCATCTTCAAAATGGTCTGGGGAAAGTAAAATTAAAATTACACTCACCCAAGAGCCTGTAAGCAGATGCTCATAGTGGCTTTGCTTAGCATCAATACAAAGTGGAAATACTCTAAATGTCCCCTAGGAGTGGTACCCTCCATGAGGTGAAATAGGATTCATCTTACCCATAGTACAAACTGGTGACAACACAGGGCTGCACAGGCAGATAGTAAACACACCATGCTAGACTCAAAAGCTTGCCTGCTATGTGAATCCGTGCACATGGTCTTCTTTAAAAGCAGGAGGATGAGGATGGAAATACAGACCAGTGTTTGTCAGGGTGTTAAGGTAGGGAGAAAGTTTCACTACAAAAGGAAATAAGGGAATTTGAAGGATGACTGACTGGCCTAGTTGTGGCTGTCTAGGCTGTTATATGACGGTGTGGTTTTACATTGCTCTTAGAGCTGTGTGCTAAAATACAAGAGTCCTGCTGTGTCAGACTTTAGTAAAAATGACATGGGAATCCACTGCCATTTTCATTTTTATATTTTAAAATTACAGCATTCACACACACATGATAAAAGCATGCTGCACACATAATGCCTGCACATCCCATGTGATTGTATCTTGTTTGCTTTCTATGATAGCAAACATTAAAACTGTCTATTTTCTTTAGCTTTATAAAAAGGATTTGGCCTAATAAAAAATATAATTTTCTTACTTAAAAATATGTTAAAGTTTTGGTTATACTTTTGAAAGTCTAGATTATATATATATATGTGTGTGTGTGTGTGTGTTAATGTTCATATTATTTAAATTCTAGGTGGAAGCTGTATCCACGGATGCTCCGGAATGTTGCTGATATCGACCTGTCGACTTCTGTTTTAGGACAGAGGGTCAGCATGCCAATATGTGTCGGGGCGACTGCCATGCAGTGCATGGCTCATGTGGATGGGGAGCTGGCCACTGTCAGAGGTAGGAAAAGAGGCCTCAGCACACAGACAGAAAGAGACCAGAAGCAGGTCCCTCCTCTGACACCCTTCCGAGGATGCTTTTTTAAAATAAAACAAAACAAAACAAACAAACAACAACAACAACAAAAACACCCTTGGTTTTACCATCAGCTTTCTAGTTTGTGGCTTTCTTTATTCTCGGTTTTTTATCAGTGCAAAACAGAGATCAAACTAGTTGTTGTGGCACTGGGTTGCCGTGAGTGTCACAAACATTATACATTTAAATGTCAGACACAGAGTAGTATGCCGCTCTGCACCGCTCCCCTGTGTCTGCGCTCTGTGCTCTGGCACCCAGTTACCGAGCTTCAGGCAAGGGGCTGGAGGTTAAAATACACGGACACACACAGAAAGACAGCGACACAGGGCATCCTTGAACTCCTCAAGAATGCTCCCTTTATTGTGTTCAGGGGCAGATTATACAGAGATAGCCACGCCCCAGCCAACCCATCAGAAACCACTCTCCTGCCATCAGGAACTCCTGAAGGTCTCGTGCTCAGAGCAGCTGTAGACACTCAGATCAGGGAATTACAAGAAATTCAGGATCTGGGGTCTCATTGCTCCCAACAGTAGTAGTGAGAAAATGTTAGTTCTTTTATGAGCAGTAATACCAAGCTCTCCAAAAATGGAGATCTAAGGAGCTTGCCCAAGGTGGGGTTATTCCAAACCGGAAGGATTTGCATAGAACAAATACAGCAAAGTGGTTGGTTTTGTTTTCTTCCATGGTATTGGGACTTGATTCTATTTTATGGGTGGGTTCTATTCCCAGTAGAGCAGTTCCCACTGCTTCGGAAAGTCGCAAACAGGCTGCAAAGTCTCTCACCATGGCCAATAGATGAACTCCCTCGTTCCCTAGCAACACTGAACACGTGAAAGGCTGTTCAGATAGATTCTGATCTGGAAACTCAGAAGCATCGGTGAAGAATCGCTGTTGACATCTTTTGATGCCAAGCAGGGCAAGAGAGAAAGGCCAAAAATGTGCGAACCTAAAGCCAGTGTAAAGCATTTCAATTCTGAGAAGAATCCTTGGATCTACCTCTTCCTTAAAATAACCCCACAGAATCCTGCTGAGAACATTAAAATTTTGCTTTGACACAAAAAGATAATACTAGGGAAGCGTAGGTCAGAAGCTGGCAGTATCCTTAAGGTTAGAGCCACAAGCAGACGAATAGCTTCAGAGTGTTACTAGGAGTTTATGGTAAACCAGAAACACACAGCCCTGGGTATGGGATTGGGTAGGGGAGATGCAGACTGGACCCAAAGACTGTAGTAGTGCAGGTCTATTTAGAGGTGGGATAAGAAGCTTCAAGCAATAGAATAAAAAAAGTGAAGAGATGGGCATACTAGATTAAAACTTATGTGCACCAAAATTTCCATAAATATAAAAAGGAAATATTCTGTGGATCCTGTGAAGATATTTTGAGGAACTGGAACGTAGATGAGAAAGTAAGAAACTGCAAAGGGCTCATGTCCATTCCATGCAGATTGTCATTGAGGAAGAAAATGATACCAAGGCAAAAGTAAGAAAATAACATGAAGTAAATGGAGACGAAATAGTTGGCGAGTGTAAAGATTCCATTCAGTAACATGCGAAGGAGTGCAAGTCATTAGCCTATATTTTATTTTCTAGATGTAAGGCTATTATTTTAAGATGTCTACTGGGATTCTGGAGAAATGTGCACTTTCTAATATGGATGGGAAGCCATCAAACAAAGTGACCTTAAAAATAATCTAGCACTTTGTATCAAATATTTAAGATGTGAATTCCATAGGATGCTGCAGGTTTTTTTTTTTGAGACAAAAGAGTTGTATGAGGATTTTCCTGATTTCAGTTTTGATTTGGCAGGATGTTGGAGAAAACCCTGTATGGCAAAACAAAAAAACAAAACAAACCCTTAAACTTTGAAAATGATACAGTCTTCTTTTCTTTCTTTTTTCTTTTTCTCCTCCTCCTCCTTCTTTCTTCTTCTTTATTGATAAGAATTCATTGTGAATTCTTTGGCAGGAGAAGGAGAGGCCCTCGAGCTGATGCTGTAGGTGACTCAGTTATCTGGATTCCTTTTTTTTTTTTTTTTTTTGGTTTTTTGAGACAGGGTTTCTCTGTGGCTTTGGAGCCTGTCCTGACACTAGCTCTGTAGACCAGGCTGGTCTCGAACTCACAGAGATCCGCCTGCCTCTGCCTCCCGAGTGCTGGGATTAAAGGCGTGCGCCACCATCGCCCGGCTGGATTCCTTATTTCTTTCTTTCATAACCTTATACTTGGTATTTTGTGTTTGTGTACAGAAGTCCGCTGTGGGGGTGGGTTGGCTCCCTCAGCCTATGAGCACGGCCGCTGATGAACAGAAGCTGGCTCTCAGTGATCCAGAACTCAGCGTTTTCTCATACTGTCATTCACTGAGACTGAGTCACAGGAATCCATAGAAGCTGCTGCTCATTAACACGCTCTTCTTTATCTATCTTCCCCAGTCTCCCATTCCCTCCTTCCATGAACTCACTTCGGGACTTATCTCAGCTGCTTCTGGAGGAATGTAAACCAAGAGCCATGGGAAAGTTTAAGCAAGAATGGAGCAATATTCATGTTTAGTAGATTATTCTCTGAAATCTAAGGAATCACAATATCAACCTTGAGAAATTTGTGAGATCTTTTTAAGTTATGGAATATTTTTGTCACCTTCCTAATAATCTGGCCCTTAAATTTTATATTTCCAGGGTCATCACCTATTTGCAAAGAAAGGAAGTTGGGGCCAAGTTCAAAGGACAGAGGTTAATTTGTAATCTGAGGACAAAGTGTCCCCATCAGTCTGGCCAATGACAATAAAAAAGGGTTGTCCATGTCTGTAGGGAATGGAATGACCTCTGAAATGAGGATATTCTCTTGACAGTTCTGGATACTACCATGGCACCATAGCCTCGCTTTCCCTGTGTATTTCCAGATTTCTTCACAGAATCTGACTCAGAGGCCTTTTTTGCCTTGTCCTGTCATTGCTGTGGGCACAGGCTGACATGAGCTAGACCCATGGATAAGACCCCGTGTCTTCCCACTGCTCAATGGCTGTAGAATGAGCCATACATTTTATTTTTAACTTTGAAACGCAATGACAATGCGTACAGGGTTTCCCTTTCCGTGTTAGTGAACAGCCAGGTGATTGATATAAGTGAGGGCTTTACAATCGAATTCCAAGGGTTGGAGTGTGGCGTCAAGAACTAAAAGCTGGAAAAATTTACAGTGCTGGCCAGTGCCACTCGGTTCGCTGTCTCATCAGGGCCCCAGAGTCCCCAAGTCTTCCTCTTGCACACTTCCTCTGCCTTTCAGGAAGGCACACTCTAGGTTTATCTTATCATAATGAAAACTACCTTTTTTTTTTGCACTAAATACCTTTGTCTTACACTTTATGAAGGGACCTCGAAAATTACCTTTAATGCTTAATGTCCAAACTAACTAAGCCACAGTCCCTGCTCAGTGGTGAAGGCAGTGTGATTGCCTGTTGTATCCCAAAGGGGGCAGCCACGTCCTTGCTTTAGCTGACTGTTCCTCAGGGAGCCAGGAGAGAAAGCCAGATCTTCAAATATCTTAAAAGAAGCAAGAAATCTCATTTTTTAAAAAAAATGTACAATTCCTTGTTTTTATACGTTGGCAAATAAATCAAAACTCCCTAAAACACTATTTAGTGCAACAGCGCAGTGGGCCAAAGCAAATACTTTTGTGGGTTACAACTGTCCCTGGGTTGTTCAGCAGTGACATCTGATTTATGTGGAAATTCACCACTAATTGGTTTTGCTTCTTGTGGCAGGTCATTTTCACTCTCTAGGATTACTGGTTGCTCACTGATAAAGTGAGCTGCTTAAGGAAGGAGAGTGGTTTGTATGCTATGTGCCAAGGGCCTGGGGCTGTTCTGAAGGACCTTGGCAACATTGCCATCATCGAGCGTGCCTGCTAGGTTGTGAGTTCAGTATTCAAAATGAAAGTTCTTTAAGGAAAGATTTCTGCTGCTAAACAAAACATGAAGGAAAATATGCCAATGAGAAAACTGCAAAACAAAGCCATCTCAGCATGGTGGCACATGCCTGCAACCTCGCACTCAGGAGGTTCAGGGAGGAGGGTTTGCAGTGAGTTGATAGCCAACTGGGGTGTATGGTTAGTACCAGCTAGGGCTACATCACCGAACAAAATAATAAGAACCGTGACTATAAGACCCAAGAAACAAAACCAGTGAAAGAAACCAATGAAAGCAGAGCACAAAAATCCAGAAAATTCCCAAGAAGAATAATCTTGACACATTAAAAAATGATTTTGATTATATTTAAATTTTCACCAACTACCAAAGATATATAGTTCAAAGTATAGAGCCACCCTTCTACATTTTCTTGGGATTCCATCTTTTCTAGTGTGTTTTCTGGCAAGCGGTTGAAGAGCTTGGGTAGGGACTGAGCTCTTGTGTGCATTTTCTTTCTTTTCTTACACTGCTCTCCTGAAATACAGGACAGGAAGTGGAGGCACATTTATCTTTGAATCTTGCTGAAGACACAGATAAATATTTGGTAAATATTTATGAGATTTACAAAGTGGTACTTCAGCGTCTCGTGAAAAGATAACCAACACGTATTGAGCAATTAATGTGTCTCAGATTTTTAAATCTATTATCTCATCTAGTCTTTAATGCTATCATAAAATACATTGATCCAGATCATCCCTAAGGACTGATCTTTAACCCTGTTAATCTGGAAACAGGTTGGGTGACATTAAATATTTTGCTCAATGTTATTATTCAATTAGTCAGTGCTGGCTATAGTATCCAGGTATTTTCCAAATACCTGATATTTTCCAAATATTATTAATTGCAGCAAGAGACCTAAAGCAAGCCCAAAGTGATAGCCTAGGAATATTTATTAAAATTGTAGCACATTTTATTCTTTTGATTTTGAGAAGAAGAACTAAACCAAAGAAAATGAAAGCCATTAGGAAAG